TTCCTTTTTGTGCCCCATTTTTCCAGTCTTTAAAATGGGAATAGAGATACTGGACTCCTTTGTAAAGAGCTTTGAAATGTACTGGTGGCAGGTGCTATGTAACGGCTAGGAAATACCAACAGATACAAAACCTTGCTGTACATAAAAAGACTTTTAAAATGTATTAATGGAATTAACTTAAGCAAAAGTGTGATCCTGTTCTTGAAAGTAAGGTGCCTTATTACATATGAGCAGGTAATTAGACAAGCTATCTCCCCATGTTTGATGCTGGCAACATGAGGCTATACATACAAATTGTTCCTGCCAGCTTTTTGTATGAAACAGGATTTTCTTCAAAAAAAATCACAAGTTAGAAACATTTTAAAATTCTCACTAGTGCATAGCCAGTGTGTATTTACCAAATTATTTTTGCTGAGAATTTGAATAGCTGGTTTAGCCAATCTGCAGCTGTAAGATACTTGCTCCACCAATGGGAAATGGAAGAAAAATACATTTCTCTTTCTCTCGCTTTCATTTCTCTTGTATATAGAAAGTCTGACTGTTGCCCTGAAGTCTCCACCAAACTATAAAAGCTGATGTTATACAAGGGTAGGTGAGGAGATGATGAATTTGCAGAAATTACTTGTTGGCACTATGGGAGTAAAATTCAGTCACTTGTTCATGTTTTCAAAAGAGTATTAGAATTAGAGGTCCATTTCATGGGACATAATTTAGAAAAGGCTAATTAAGCTAATATCCAAGGCATCAAGTTGCTAAATAACATACTGGACAGAACATGTCATAGAGCAAAGAATGTGTGGAAACAGTGATCCAAAAGAAAATTCTGCATAGTGACATGTGTTTATAATGTAATTTGGATACAGTGGTCTTATTCCTTGTGATATTTTCTCCTGGGCTATTGCTCAGATACAAAAATCTGACTGCTTCCATAGGTCAGACCCAGGAAGCTTTTAGCAATCAAATCAAGTATTTAAAAAGGGATAGTAAGGAGCTGTGGAATGTTTTATTGTAAACAAACTTTTCCTTTTTTAATGTAAGGTTAAGGAGTTGTTTTTTGTGTAACAGAATACAACAGCACGGAGCTGGAATTTCAGCTCAACACGTTCACATCTCTCCTGGCTGACATAATTCATGTTTGTCATACACACAGATTTACTCACATGCAGAAGGAATCTTCAGAATAGTCCATTTTGTACCTATTAGAATCTATTAAATGCTTATATTAGGAGAATGTTGATGGTTAAAGCAGTGACATTATATTATATTTACATTTAAAAAGCCTCTTCTTTGCTGAAGTTGAAGACAGAGACTAAATACTTTTAATCTTAAATTGGCAAGGAGAAGAACTGAATGACCTTGAGAGTTTTTATATGTAGACTCTGTTTCTTTCCCTTCTTGCAGTGTTCCATCCTCTCTCTCCCTTTTGAAACAGTAGTCATGAGGATCATTTATGTAGACTATTGCTGCTCTTAATTACAGTGTTTTTCTTTTAATCTGGTCAGTCCCTGTTACGTTTCATTGTTGTGATGTCTGAGCATTGCTGTTCCAATTTTGCACAGCATTACTACTTTATCTCTGCCTATAAAGCATTTCATACAAAGCAGATGAAGTGACATCATAGATGTACCATTTACTGAACTGAGAAAAGGACAGTATAACAGACCTTTACAGCTTTTAGTAAGAGCAAAAATTGACTTATACTAGTTCACATAATTGCTATGTAATATCAGGGCACATGATACAAGTTATTTCCTGGGCAACATTAACATTTCATTTGAGGAGCTCATGCTACCTCTCCCACCCTGCAGTCCTAGCCTGCTTGCTGTCTTGGGCAAGAGCCCCAGGGGGGATTCTAGGGGAACCCGAATCCTGGACAGGCAGTGAGGCGTCCCATCCCCGTAGGGCTTCACTGCCCGGCCAGCAAACCCACCCTGTGGAAGAAGCACAGGGGAGCCACTAGCAAAGGCCCTGCCTATGCTGTGCTGTACTCTACTCCTGCAGGGAGTTACGGGTTTGGAGTTGGGGAAGGGGGCTTTCCCTTGTGTTTTGGCAGGAACCCTTGCACCTCCTGCCCCCTCTACTGCTTCACCTCACACCGACAGGGATTGTTGCCTACTGAACCACTGCTCACCTGCTGTGTCTTTGTGGCACCTGGTGGCAGTGCGGGGTCTCATGGGCCCAGCTCCAGACCACTATCATCGGATACTGGGGAGGCAGGAACACAGGGAGGGGATTAGAGTCAGGGCCAGGGCCAGGCCAGCCGCATTCAGGGGGACTAGCAACTCCCACCCCAATGGCTGATGTTGGACTGTACCACCCAATTATGCTTCAGTGGGTTTCCAGTGGCTGTCCAGAGTGCTGACCAGGGCAGGCTGCACAGCGAGCCACGTTAAGGTGCCTTAAGGCATCCACATGTAGATGTGTGCCTAAATAGCCTTAATGTTTCTTCAGCTAAGGTGCATTAAGTTTAGGTGCACATAGATTCACTGTGTGACCTGCATTGGAACCTTCCTATTTTATTTCTTTTTCAGTTTAGAACTTTTACTTGGGAGACTGACACTTTCTTGGTTTTTCTTTTGTTCTGCAGCTGAGGAACACCCAGCTGGAAACGCACAAAACCATCCTGCAGGAGGTGCTCAGCCTTTACCACCAGGACACGTGCCAGTTCAAGAAGCAGCTGCTAGAAATGATCATGTTCAGATTCACCCTTAACCACTGTGCCTCAACTTTATACCGTCTTTAATATTTTGTGGGTGGGGACAGGGACTTAAACAAAATCAGAGTTCACATCAGAAATATCAACTCTCCTCTTTCTTCCCCTGAAGATGATGAAGTCATTGAGAATGTTACATTTACAATCTAAATTCTGTTGATATCTAAAATATGGATGAATTCTCTCCAATGCATCAGTGACAAAGATAACAAAGAGGCTACTTGCAGGCAAACACTGGGGGAGAAGGATAAAATAAGTTGAAAGCAGCTATCTCCTTCCCTTCTGTAAGCAAAGTCTCCCATGCAATAGGAGTTTGTATTACCAAGAGTTAGGTAAGAATCAGCACCTTGCTCTTGGGAGAAATGGAGAACTGGACTATGGATCAAGTTAAGTTCTCTCTGACACAACCTTTTTCCAGAAGTATGAAACAGCAGACTATGGAAAAGCTAGATCTGTTGATGGAGGCCTTCAGTTTTTAGCATAGCCAACTCCTTTTGAAAGTGACACCAAATAAAAACAGCTTCCTAGGATTAAATTCAAGAAACCTACCCTTTTAAAAAATCTAGTCACAGCTAAGAATTAGAGGGTGTGTCTACACAAGATACTTACTGTGTGGTAGTCTAATAACACTGCGCAATAGCATGCTGGTCAAAAACCATGCTAATAAGCTACAGTGCAGTGTTGTTAGGCTACTGTGCAGTTACCATCATGGAAAAGCCATGCACATTTAGTTAGTACTTCATTAAGCAAGTACTAAACTAAATGCACAGTAACTACTGCACATTAATGAATGTGCAGTACATGCCCACAGTGAATAACTTTCATGTTTACAGATGCCTAAGGATTTTGCTATAAGCCTTCCATAAAAATGCTGTATTGATGGGGTATTATTTTGAACCATCCTCATTGTTAAAGATGAATACAGTGGAGCAGCTGGGTGCTCATCTTGCCTAACAGGCTCTTGAGGCTGTACTTTTGTCCCCATTCCTTTCATAACATGCCAGCTGCTCTCAACATTTTGCATGCTGTTAAATGATCTTTTTATGTTGATGAAAAATATTGCACAAAATAGAAGGACTCGTTGTCTTTTTCTGTGCCAATTATCCTACCTCTTGTGATAAAAACCTTACTTTCCAAATCCACTGTGTGTTTCAACAAACATTTCTCAGACATGACATTTTGACTCTTATTCTCACCTTTTCTACTGGTAATACCCCTTCTTTTTCAACAATCAGTATAACCATATGAAGTCTCCTGAAACAGGCACAATAACTGATCATATTGTTCTGGTATCAGTACCAAGCTAGTTTCCCCAACATAAGCCAAAACCATCATTTGTAAGCCATCTTAAAATAATTTGATTTTCCTGTGAATTCTGGGAGAGAGAATCCTATGGAGTGGTCTTAACTCTTGTATTTCAGGCTGAAAGAGCGTCTTAAAACCCAAACATGAATATTTTGATAGAATACTAGTCTGAATTTGTACCCAAATGCACATTTTGGGAGGGATGTTTCAAATTTCCTTCCCATTCTATAACTACCTGCTAACAGTGTCACTGTAGGGGATCCAGTCACCTTACACAAAAGCATGCAAGCAAAGCTGTTTCAGAGAAATGTTCCTTTCAGAGCAAGACTTGTGTTTTTTCTAGTTAGTGTGATGGATGTGAATTACTAAAAATTATACTATTTATAAAGCTATTACTTTACAGAAAAAAACATTAAGATGCTGTAATAAGTGGGCCATCCCAGGGCTGGTCCAGACATTGGCTCAGACACTTGTCTAGGGCAGTCTGCCCACCTGCCTTTCCTGCCACGACTTTGGTGTAGCTGAAGATATTCCTAGGCAGGAGGCTCCCTATTTAATTACCTTGATGCCAAGGGCAAATACATGGCTCCACACCTCCCCAAATGCCATGTCCTATGCCTTGCAGATAGTATCTGTATCCATCATTACTTTCCAGCCCCTTAGCTATGCCATCACATTCCTCCCCCCCAATTGAGGTTCCTATCTTCCCAAGCCCCCACATTGGGGCTTCTGGGTCTAATGCTGCTTTGGCCTCGTGCCTCACTTAATGGGCCTAGGCCTGGTCTCAGGCCTCTTTCAGATCAGCCTGGACCCTGCCTCAGGCCCCCCTTCAGCAGGCCTTGGCCATGTTTTTCTATCAGGCTGTGCTCCCCTAGCCTTTCCCCTCCACTGAGTCATCTGCAAGGCAGTAAGGGATGAGGCTTTCTGGTGCCCCATACTTGCCCATCACTGGGGGATGGGGGGGCACAGGTGTGGCATTTTCCAGAGAATGCCCTGCCACAGGCAGCCCTACCACACCATCCTCCCCAGCAGATGTAGTTTTAGGTCATGCCCCAGGACCATGAACCTCCTCCATCTCCACAGTTCCTACCCTGAACCTCTAAGCTGTTCTGACAGCAGCAGTTCCAGCCAGGCAACATTCTCCCTCTGGCTCCTTGAAGCAATTATCTGCTCCAGTGCTCAGGGCCTGCTCTTATTCTCCAGTAGCTAGGCCTTCCTTCCAATCAGGCAGCCTCCTGCTGGTCATGTGACTCCTGATTGGCAGTGCAGACACCTGTAGGCTGCTCTGCTTCCTGCTCAGGCTCCTTAAAGTAGCAGGCACAACCTGTGCTCTGCCACAGATGCTTGTTCCAGAACATCTAAGGAATTGGGCATCCTCCATTCTCTATTAATGTGTCTTTTGGTAGTAGGGAGCATAGTCATTCCCCAGTTTAACTGTAGATGACTTGTGCCTCCCATTGGAAAACTATTCCATATGGTTTAAGAGCTCACAGTTAAGATATTTTTTCTGATAAATTAGATTTCCTCCATTTTATTTTAATTGCCTTTGTGCTTCAGGTCCTTCCTTGTTGACATTTATACTATTCAAAGGCTCTCTACATGAAACACTGACTATTTGGTCGTTTAGCGCTAGTATAAACAAGTACTAAATGACTGCATAGTAACTTGAGTTACTGTGCAGTAGTGCCAACAAACAGATGCTGACTGCAGCAACCCAAGACTGCTGTGCACTAGCATTGTATCATGCTTTCTGCCACAATGATCTCGGGCGACTGCGCAGTCAGCATCTCATGTAAACAAGGCCGAAGAGTAGTAGATCTTCGAAAAGGAGCAGAATGGTCCTTTAAGTCATCCCTTAAATCAATCCGTCCAGCTCTTTAGCCCTTTTGTTTTTGGTTTGACAACCATTTGATGACACTTCTCTCCGGAGTCTGAATTCTCCTTCTGTAGTTCCATCCCTTTGCTAGGAATCCCTCTGTAATGAGCTCCAGGGATAGTTGCAGACAGGACCAATGGAGTCATACTGTCCAGACTCAAGATACACTGGGACCTTAGTGTGACATGGGGCTCTTCCAAGGGGTAGCTTGGACTTTTGATTTGTACGTTTATAATTGCAATTGGGCAGTTCATCTAAACAGTTCAGGAGAAAAACTACAAGGGGATTCTCAGGGAGTTTTCCTTTATCCCCTGCTTGCATATGAAAAGGTGATAAGGCCATAAGTGTTTGTACAGGCCCAGAATGAAGGGACTGTAATCCTTGTTTGAGATCTTTTAATAGTGTTTAGCCTTCTGGCCCCATGAGCCAGGTGCAGGGCTGGTTTGTGGACGAGATCCTGTACACAGGATCTGTCAGTGTGGTGCGCTGGCTCCACCATACGCTGGCCTGATCTAGTGCTCAGGGTCATGTCATCCAACTTGCAGGGCTCCCTACAGGTCCAGAAATTTGACTGTTGGGGAACAATGATTAATGCTACCACTGCTACCCCACCACCAAATTTCCAGACCTGTGGAGAGACCCACTGGGCCAGAGGATGAGTACCACTGTCTTAGCCCTACTCTAAAGTGAATGTGCCCTTTGTATTACGTCTCTTTCATCACAGGTCTTTGCATTGCATGTCAATTCAGTGTTTTTGTGTATAACGCAGTATTGATTCTCTTTTAAATGATTAATAAAGCTGAACCTGCCACAAATCACTCGTGCTCCCAATGGTACATGTACCACTGGCTAAAGAACTCCTTTACTCAAATGTAGGATATCTTTTTTCTTGGTTTTTAGGGTAGATTGACCCACTGTGCACCTCTGGACAAATTTGGTTTCAAGTGCTGGATCTGTTTGACATCCAGTATATGTGACTGTAAGAATCTGTCTTTTTCTGCTTTACAGAAAGGCATAATGTAGCTTTTTTCCCCCCACACCTATTTATCTTTACCTTGAACACCTGACTTTTTTAAAGTATGCGGTAGCTAAGTGTTGAACCTAAACTCTTCCTTTCCTTTGTGTATGTGACACCCATGTCTTGCCACCCTGCAGGGGAAGCTGGTATTTTATTGTGGCCCATCATTTTTGCAAAAATGTCTCAAGAGCTGCAGTGCTGTATTTTATCAGTAGGGGGCAAGCAGCATGCAGTTTTCCATCTATTCTTTTAGCCCTTACCTGAAAAAAGAAAATATCTTCATCTCTGGATGGCTGGATCAAACTCCAGAGCTAGTGACTAGTTAAAAGTTACGGCTGATGACCCTTTACCCTAAATGTTCATGGAAGTAATGAAGACCAACATCTTCAGTGGTACCTACCTAAATCCTATTGATTTGAATGGGAGTTAGTTGTCTAAACTAACAAGGAAGCTGTCTAATCTTTGAGACCTGAGGCCAAATTCCCAGTGGGCAGTTGCCTATAATGTAGAAAGCCCCAACTTAGAAGGTTCTTTTCTTTGCAGTCTGCAAAGAGGGTAAGGAACCAGAGACTGAATTTACTCTTAAAAGTTGCCCATTCAGTTAAGGGTTTGGCAGGGCTATACAGGACAAGTTTGCTCTATGACTGTCTAGGCCAGGTCTTCCCATTCTGGAGCTTCTCTCTTGGAGAGGAGCTTCTGTCTTGGGGTTCATTCATCCAGGGCACGGTGCACCACTATTTAATTCACTGCATAAAATTTTAAAAAACCAAACCCTGTTTCATGTTGAGTCTCCCTCTGTCAAGAACTTCTGCCTTGGAAAGAAGTTGTGCAGCGAAATGTTTGGTTAACGTGCTGCTTGTTCCTTGCCTTGGTGCTGCTGCTTTCTGGATGAAACTGCTGGAGATTCCTCCATGAAAACAGACTGAAAAAGTGTTATCTGCTTCCAAATGTGTATATCTCAACCAAGATTTTGTCATTTTGACAGAAAGTTCTGGGAAGCTCTGCAAAATCACAAAGGCTGGACTAAAAGTGACTGTTGCTGCTAAGTTAAGGAAATGGAAAACTGTCGGCCTCTAAAGCAGCGGTTCCCAGCCCTGGCTCACGACCCACATGAGGGTTGTGGGGGCAATGCCGGCGGCGCTGAACACACACAACGAGCTAACTCTGTCCCAGAGCTGTCGCCACTGCCGCACTCTGCTCTCAGCAGCAGGTGGCGGAAAAAAAAGGTTGGGAACCACTGCTCTAAACCCTCAAAAAGAGTGATCAGGGACTGAAAAGACAGGGGCTGCTGCTCCTTTGGGGACCCACTTTGCTTTTGAGAGCCATTTAAAAGATCACTGGGCGCATCTACATGTTCACTAAGGTGCCTTAAATACTGTGCCTGACAGAATACTAACTTAATGCACAGTACCCACATTTCCTGCGAATAGTGCCAGCCCAGTTATGTAATGACACTGCATGTTAGCCTAATAACACTGCCCGGTAGGCTCTTAGCGCGGTGTTGCCGTGGCCCACTGCTGCGCAGGGTTCGTCACACTAGTGCGCAGCAAGCGTGTCGTGTAGACGCGCCAACGGAGCGCCGCGCGGGTGCGGACTCGGCCCCGGAAGGCTGTCGGCAGGCGGCGGATGGGGCTGCCCAGCCGCTCTTGCAGTGTCGGGGGGTGGGGGGTGATGGCAGGGCAGCGCGGTCCCTTGCCCCGGCTCTGTCCGGGGCGTTTCCTGCCCTGCCGCTGAGCGCGGGGCAAGGGGGCAAAGGTGCGCGGGCGGCACATTGCCCCTGCCCTGCCCTAACCCCTCTCTTCCCGGGCGTGGGGGCGGGAAGCGAAAGGGAAAGAGAAGAGCAACACCTGGCGGCGCCATGGCGCAGCCCCGGGGCTCGGCCCGGCTGCTCGCGCTGCTCGCGGCTCTCAGCACCGCGCTGCCGCCCGCAGGTACCGGCGAGGGGGCGCCGGATCTCCCCTCCTCACCCTAACCCTGCGCGGGAGCGCCCGCCTGCCAGGGTCCGGGCTGCGGCCAGCGCTGCCCCGCCGGGCACAGCCGGCTGGCAAGGGTCGGGGGGGGGGGAGCAGGGCTTGCACGGGGAGCTGGGAAGAAGGGGCTG